AACAGGACAGACCTTTGACCAGTGACAGCTGGTGAAAGAGCACTGGGGTCCCCACTAGCCCACAACAGAGATATTTTGAGAAGTTTCTGAGAAATCCATGTATATTCTAGAAACTAGACTGCAGAGTACTGCTGGTAAATGGCAGATTTCAGCTTCTTTGCAGAACAGAATTGCTTTGTGAAAAAATTTCAAGCAAAATTGAATGGCATTTCTTTTCTGGTGCTCCATTTGGCATCTCTGAGCCGCTGCAGCACGATCTAGAATATGGCTGTTTGTTTACTACAGTTTGAAACTGTGTCATAAAATACATATTATGTGAGTAGCCTAGAAATGCACAGAGATTTCAGAGGCAGAATTGCTCTGAGCCTTTTTATTAAATGAAACATCCATTTTCTCCCAGGCAGAAATCACAATGGTATCCATCATAAAAATGATCAATAAAGCATTGGGTTGCGACTCCTGCTGTCTAGTTTAATTTTGTTATTGAAATAACGGTTTCTCAGTGCATGGAATTTCCTGGGGATTAATAACAGACATCAGCATCACAACGCACCCACCCCTTCACGCTTCTTATTTATTTCCAGAAAGCACCCACTGCCCAAACCATAGGAACTAGGACTAACATACACGCTAGCGGTACGCGTGCTTGTACCCAGCTGCCTGTGGTATGAGCATCTGAATCATCCACAGGTGATGCTGAGAAGCAAAAGCTGCCATCTATTTTTTGGGAACAATTTTGGCAGATTTCTAGAAAAGCTTTTTGAGATAATAGAGTGGAGCCTGCCACATCTGACTCATCACAGCAGCAGGAAAAATGGAGACGGGCTGCTTGCGTGGGAACCTATCCACCAAAGTCTATTTGTGGAAAAACATATTCAGTGCACAAATTTCTAAGTGACTTGGGATTGCAGCACTGACCTGAGGACAATTTGGGCATAAGCACTGCTTTGTTTTACCTCATATTCCTTTCTGTTGGTATTGTTCAAGTAAAGCACAGAAATAAGCACTGGGGTTTGTTGGTAACTAGCCTTAAAAATGCAACACATTTGGGCAAACAGATCCACAAATGGGATGGTCTGGAGAAGGATTATGTTCAGTTCAACCCCCTAGACCCATGACTGATGTACCTAGTGTCTCTTTTGGCATTAGCATTGCTTTGAGAAGTCATTTCCACACCTAGACAAGAATTTCCTGACAAAACTATTTTCCTGTTGAAAAACACTGTACTGACAAAGCTAAACTGTTTGTGAGAAAAGGGTTGTTCTGAAAAAGATCCCTTCTCTAGAAATGCCAAGGAGGAAAGTTTCAAAATTATCACGGAATCCCATTTAAGGGTTTTTTCCATATCAAAACTTTGACATCATCAGTTAGATAATTGCAAAAACTGGTGTAAAAACCAAAAATACATTCAAGATCAAAATCAAAGCTTCCATTAAATTCGCCAAGTGAATTGCTTAGCTGTTAGGCTTAATTTTTAAATCCATGAACGCTTGGCATTCAACAGCTTGTTTTCTGGAAGGGTGGAAATGAGAGTTTGCAGATGAAGAATTTGTTCAGTACTGGGACATTAGTGTGGACACATGAGTCAAGACTCTGCCTTGCACAAAAACAAGCCAGTGGGAATTTCCACTGGTGGCCTCGCTGGGCATGGATTTGGCACTGTAATCCTGATCCTTCCGGAAATCCATGGCAGTCTTGTCCTTGGCTATGCTCAGTTTGGGATTAACCTTTTAATGGCTTGTTCCTTTGGGTGTGTTGAAGTCTGAACGCTGGAATCCTGCGTCTCAACCACACAGACACTGCAGTGACCTTACAAAAATATTGCTCACCCTCCTGTGATCTTCCTAGCAGATGAGAAACCGGAGCTTGGAACTGCTCCCCACCACCACCCCCTCTTGTTGTTCAGCTTGTGAATTTTATTAGCTGTCAACGTGTCAAACTTCCACTTAGCTGGACAGCTGCGTGACCAGCCAGACTCCAAGGCCTGCCAATAAAGTTTAACAGAGCTATCAGCTTTTCACATGGAAGAGATTATGGTACGTGAATACTCAGGTATCAGAGAGAACGAATGAGACTTAGGTAAGTTCACATTTCATGTGGTAAAGTAAAAACGTGAGGAGGAGAAAGAAGCAAAGAGATGGACAGGCCTGCTTGGTTTTGTTCAGTGCTGGTATGATGATTACCAAAACGGGATTCTAGTGCAGGGATGTTGTGTGTACGTGATACAGTAAGAAAGCAACATCTGAGCCACGATTCAGAGACTTGGGTGTGATCTGGGGATTGTCCAGCCATGGCTGTGCAGCAGACAGATGGCACTGAGATTCAGAAGATGGATGAAACAATGACCAGACATTGAGGAGCAGCAAAGGCTACTCTTGAGTGCCTTTTGTTACTATGGGTCACAAAATACTTTTCATATGTCTGCCTCCCATTTTACATGTTAACATGATAAGCTTTTGGGGACAAGATAGATGGGTAGATGGTGGCACAGCCCCAGAAACCCTGATCTCAGCTGGCTCTACTGTTATTACAGCCATCTTTAATCCAAAGCACGTCTCTTGGCCTTAAAAACTCTGTTGAGACAGGAGTAAAACTATACGATGGTAGAAGATTCCCTGCTGGATGGGTACATGTGTGGATGTGTGTGTGGCTTTTTTTTCTTTCCACAAGAACTTGATTGACTAATGTTTGTAGGTCCCGAGAGCCAGTAAAAGATCTGCTCTGATATCCAGAAAATTTTACAAGGGGCGGCAGGCTTAAAAGTGGTGGGAAGAAGCTGACTCTGCCAGGATGCTGGAATGAGAAAGCCATCAGGAATGTGCCTCGAAGAACAGCTGCTACTAGAGCCCTGGCAGGAACCTCCATGCAAGCTGCCTGGGAGCAAGTAGGGGGATTTGGAGATCACAGCTTGAGACGAGGGAAAGGTTCTATTTATTTATTTATTTAGCTTTCTCTTTCTGTTTTCACCTCCCTCCTTTCTCCCAAGCCCTCTCACAGTGAGGTCAGAGCGCCTTGGAAAAGAGAGAACCTGTCTCTAGGTTTTGCACTCCCAGGCACTTCAGGGCTTTTCCCTTCCTCCCCAGCATGTCCTCATCACGCCTCACGCAACGCAGGCTTCTTTCACACCATAAACTCTGTTCTCCCTTGAAACTCCTTATTTTCTTCCCATCCATTTGCCACAGAAACATCTCTTTTTATTTCCTCCTTAACATCTTATGTCCATCTACCACAAGTAAGACCAATTAGAAACAGAATATGCAAAACAAAAATGAGGGAATTTACACTTTCCAACTTTTGGTAGCTTAGCCGCCTAAATTAGCCACTTTCCCAGGCTCCATCTGGCTATGAACCTACATGGCTAGCAAATTAACACTATTACTATTGAACACCCTGGCACAGCGTTTTGGCTAAGATCAAAACTAGAATGAATTTAAAGTTTGCTAGATTTCCTTTTTGCAGTCTTCATAGCCCCATCTTGAGGGACGATGGATTCAGGAAAATATAGTACCTCTCAAGAGAAAGCTGGAGGGAGGCAAGAGGGCATCTGCTGCAGTGCTGCGACTGGCTTAGCACTTCTTTGGGACAGGCAACTAATGGGAAAAGTCCTTAACCAGTGGAAGTCCCAGGTGTGTGGGGAAATGTCCTTTCCCAGACAGCTGGGGGAAAACAGCAAAAACTTTTGGCGGTTTTGGCTTCTGAGACAGCACATCAAGCTCATTATCCTGAGAACCGCAGAACAAAAAAAAAAGCCTGTTTTGTTTTGGAGGAGCTG